CTCCTCCCAACTTACCTATCCCATCCTGATTTTATTTCCTTCGCTATCCAACGTCAGTCTCACGGTTCACTGGCCCCATTTGTTAACTCTCAATGCCATTGGACTCTTCCCTTTCATCGCACCAAAACTTAAAACCTGTAGCTTGGATCAGCTCAATCATTCTTCTTAGTTCCTTATTTGTAAAATGGTCTTGTTTAGAGAAATTGTGTGCAATTTTGTTTATTGCTGTGTCTGCTAATAATACTTCTACTCGTCAGTTATTGGGTACTTTCTATGTGTCAGGTGACAAGAACTGCACATCTGTTCTTTCTCTTACCCTCATAGCAAAAGTGTAAGATAGTTGATACTGTTCCCTATTTTGCAGATGAGATCCAATGCTTAGAACTGTTAAGACATTTTCTAAAGATCAAAGAGTTGGTAAATGGCACAGGCAGGATATGAAACTCAATCTATTTTCTCCAAAACACAAGTTCCCAACAGCTGTACCATGTAATTATCAATATACATGGCTTCAAATGCACTATTATAGCTTTCTACTTGTCCTTTTTTTAAACTTTCTCTTCTTGCTGTTTCTTGGACTCAATAAATACCTTTTGTCATCCTATTTTTCTTTCTATTAGTTTGACAGTTATGCATTCTTTACCTATATATTGTGGTTAACTTTATATATAACATATACTCCTAACTTTAACCAATAAAATTTACACTCCTCCTTGCCAATGCATGGTCTTTAGAACACTTTAAACATCTATATATATTTCTCTGTCTGTCTATCTATCTTTCTGTCTATTATCTATCAGTATCTACACACACATTTATGTTCAATCATTTTGGGGAATTAATTGGATTGACACCAGTTTTTTTCAAAGATGTCAGCTGGGAATTTCTTTTCACCATATCAGTTGTTCTAAGTTTTTTGTTTTTTGTCTTTTTGTGAAGGGGGAACCAAATAAAACAATTCTGTTATAGAATTTCTACCATTACAGCCAGCATAAGTCCATTTTAATTTTTCTAAACATTATCATTTGAAAATATCATTGGATACTGCCTTTTTTCTTTTTGGCTTTAAGTTCATGATATTTACATGGAGAGATCATGGATAATGTTGTTTTGTCTTGTTCGGTGTTTTCGTTAGGGCTGTAAATGAGAGCTTGAGCATTTATTATGATCCCATCATTTTAAAAGTGGCTTCAGTTTATCCCCTAGCTATTTTTCTTGATTTTGTTTTAGTAGTCACAATGTATACATCAAAAAATGGAACAGCAGATTATTTGTGAATCTTAAGAACAGTCTAGTAATTTTGTGTGGGTATTTTAAAAAATTAAAAACTAAAAAGAATTGCTAGTAGAAAGCTCATTTGATTCCTCACAGCTTCATATGTCAATACTTAGAATTATTATGTGTTCATTCTCCTAATGCATGCTCTGTTCCTGACTCAGTCTTACCTCATGGGACCATGAATATTTAAATGCAGAATTCTTCCAGAATTATTGGAAATGTTAATAAAATTTAGAAAATTTCACCTCTATGTTTACATATCTATCCAGGCCTCTCATAGTCATCATTAAACCACTTACATGACAGCTCCTCTTGGATAAATCAAAATAATTTCAAGCTAACCATGTCTAAAAACAAACTCATGATCTTCTCTTCTAGACACATTCCCTGTGGAAAATGTACCTCCATCTATTCAATTATGCACACAGAGTCCTTCACACCTCCTTGCTCTCATTTCCACCTGTACAGTCGACCATCAAATTCAGATGGTTTTACCTCCTGATTCCCTCACCTTTGTCCGCTTCTGTTTCTACCACCATGATCAGTGATGTTATACTTCAAAATACCTTTCCTTTTGCTAATTTATATTAAAATCCTAACTGATCTTCTCACAACCAGTCTTGATCCCCTCCAAATTGTTTCACTACTGCATCGAGAAGAAACTTTTGCAAACGTGTGTATATGCACATATCTATATATATCTAGTACATATCTCTATTTATATTGTATACATATGGCCCCAATGGTAATAACAAACATTTAACTTAATGCTTACCATGCCATGTATCCTGCACTATTCAAGACACTTTACATTGTTCTAACTCACTTAATTCTCACCATAAGTTAGGTGCTACCACTTGTCCTCATTTTACAGGTTAGAACAAACTGAGGCACAAAAATTTAAAGATCCTGCCCAGGACCAAAAGAACAGTGATGCTGGTATTTGAAAGCAGCAATGTTTTAGCTTCAGTGTTAATGTTGTCTACCACTACATGATTACCTCTCAGTGAACATATTCTCTTAGGGCTTAAAACCTCTTCAGTAACTTCCAAATTGTTCCTAGAGACCGTAAAGTCTTTAAATGTTACCTAGAATACTCTTCCCTCTTACCGTGTGTTATTAAATACTTCTCATCCTTTATGTGTTTATTTAATCATTATTTCTTTAGGGAATCCTTTCATATTCCTTTGCACCATGCAGCTCTCTGTTAATAGCACTTATCACAGATGAAACTTTACATATTTTTGTGATTATTCAGTAAATTGATGTTTCATATAAATTGTACACACTATAACATTCCCAGTGTTTAGTACAGTTGCTATATATATATATATGTGTGGCACTCGATATATATTTTATGAAATAAATGAAAAAAAGACAAGGAGGAAGGAAGAAAAGAAAGAAGGAAGGATGGATGAAAATCCTTTGAGTTGAAAGGTCTAATAGGAATATTTTACAATTTTGCTTTCAGATCAAGGATTCTTTTTATATCCTTTCTCTTTTATTTTAGATTGAAGTATAGTTGATTTACAATTTATGTTAGTTTCAAGTGTACAGTATACTGATTTGATATTTTTGCAGATTATATTTCACTATAGGTTATTACAAGATAATGGGTATAATTCCCTGCACTATATCCTTTCTCTTGAATCATCTCTGTCTGAACATTTCTGGTGGTAGGAAACTCTACCTCAAGAAAAGCTACTTCCATTGCTAAATGGCTTTGATCAACTATCAGAAAATTCTTCCTTAGCTAGAGCTGAAATATGGTTACTTGTAAATTTCACCCATATGTTCTGCTTGCTCTTCATTTTGGAGCTTCCTGGAATATGTGTTATCCCCTTTTTCACATGGCAAGTTTTCAGATATTTCAAGCTATTATGTTTCTCTCAACAGATTCTTTTATCCTAGCCTAATGATATCTGGTTACCGGTATTTTTATGGAATAATTTTATATGATATAATTTTCTGTATATGCTTTGAAGTCTTTTAAAATTATTCTTTTTAATGTCAACTAATTTGGTTTTTTGCCTTCAGCCAGTATTAAAAAACTGTTCATTGGTTCTTTCCTCCCACCCCCAAATACATTTTGGTATGAAAACACACAGTCAACACTACACTTTATGTTTTCTTCTTGGGAATTCACTTAACAGAATAACATATTAAGTTTCTGAGACGCCTTGGATTAAAGTAACATGTTGAACTTTCATTAATGTGGTGTTTCACAAATGTATATGAACCTTTTTATATTTCTACAAAGTATATCCTATTTTATAGGCTTTTTCAGAATACTGTCTAGAAATATATATAAATGAATGTGTTAATCTATATGGAATATTAATTGTTAATAACATGCATCTAACAAAATTAGAAGTGTAAGAAAACTACACTTTGTACTTAACAAAATCATGATTTTTTAACAAGATCCTAAATTTTTTAACTTGTGAAAAACAGGTATGGTATGTCAAGTGATTAGAAAATAATTTTTTCTTATGTTTGCTGGGTCAAAAAGGAAAAATGGGTAGAAGAAAAACGTATCTTAATATATTCATGCTAGAAAAATGGAAATAATTGTTACTATAACACTTTTTATTAAAACTATATTCTTAACAAAGCTTGTGAATCAGCCTCCTGAAATAAATATTTTACTTCTGTTTTGTTAGAAAGCATTAACTCTTTTTATTTAAAAAGTCCAGAAAACACTGGCAAATATAAGAACTGAACAATTTGCAATTCAAGTGGATTTCAAGTGTTAAAACACTAAGATTCTGTCAGAAATGTGTTATAATAAATGTAAAACCTAGGACTTGTTTAATTGCTAGAGTATATTGTATATTGTACAATATCTAAGAACAGCAGCTGTAAGAAGTAGTGAACTCAAAATGACTATTGCTCTGTTATTTAGTATTAAATGACTAGAACTTTCTTGTATAATATTCAATGCATTTCATACCCATTCTTGACTAAATAGCAAACTTACACTTACACAAGCTACTTAACAATCTGAATTTAATTATTCCTTAATAGCTATGATAAAGAAATGTCTCCTTTTTCCATTTTCTCTAGAAA